GAAAAAAAAAAAAAAAAAAAAAGAAGCTGCTCAGGAAAGAGGGCTTCTAGAACTGCTTCAGAAAGTGGAAACAACGACGGAATAAGTGTATTAGAAGGGACAGGGCTGTTTAGGTGGGAAGTACTTAGAGGGGGTTTACTGGCAATGTGTCTTCTGCTGTGATTATGTTTAAAAATTAAATATTCACCATATTTAGCCATTGTGCCTTGGTTTTCTTATCTGCAGAACGGGGGCGATGACCCCTGTAAGATGGCTGAGGACTCCAGGGGCACCTTCCTGTAGAATGCCCACCTTGGAGAGCACAAGGCAGATGCTCTCAGAGCCAGTGCCTCTTACTCTGCAGCAGAAGTGCACGCACTGCAGCACCCTAGCACCATGGCCCACTGAGGCAGCCTCCAGCCCGACGCTGCTGAGAGGGGCAAGCTGGGAAGGTATCCCATGCAATATGGGCCGTACTGCAACTGCTCTCCCCATCCTGGGCCAGCCAGCATGTGACCTCTCTTCGCCTGTGTGAACTTGGGGGACTAACGTGGCCTCTCTGAACCACAGGCTACTTGCTCACCAGTCAGGTGGGAAATCTACTTCTACGTGGTTACTAGGGCCTGATGTCCCAGGAAGGCCTTCAAAAGCAGAGAATGGGCTGGAGCTCAGTAGAAAGGAGCTTGCTGAGCATGTGCCGGCCCTGGGCTCCATCCCTAGCATCTCAGAGAATCGAAGAAATACAACCTCAGTCCACACATGTTTTCTAAGTCCTTATGGCTCTGCTGGAAGGGAGTTCCAGCAGAGTTCCTGTGTATGCCAGTCCCAGCCCAGAGACAAACGTGCTGTGTGACCTCAGATGAGTGCTGGGTGTCTCTGAGTGGCATCTCACTCCAATGCAGAGTGACACTGGGGGTCACACAATGGGCTGCAGAAGCCTCAGCACCCAGAGTCTGCCCCAGAGTGCTTTCTTGCACAAGGCATTTTTGAGCCAGGGTCTTGCTGTGTAGTTCAGGGTAGCCTTGAACTTACAGTGCTACTCCTGCCTCAGCCTCCTGACTGTTAGGAATTACAGGCATGTGCCACCATGCCCAGCATGCAACTGTTGTGTTTTAACAGGTGCCACAGCGAAACCTGAGGACCCTTTACTAGCTGGGTGCTATCATTTGAATGAATGTGTCCCCAAAGCTCCTGAGTAGAAACTTAATGCCTACATTCATGTGTGGATGGTGCTGGAGTGGGGCTCTGGGTGGTCACTGGGGTGGCCCTGGGATGGCATCAGTGGCTTTACAGGCAGAAGGGAGGCCTGAGCTGGTGCACTTGCTCTGTCTTGCCATGTGACACCCTGCACCATGTCAGGACACAGCAGATGCCAGCACCTTGATACTGGATTTCTCAGCCTCCAGAATCATGAACAATATTTCTTTCCTTTACAAATTACCCAATTAGCAACATTCCGCTAAAATGAATTTAGACCCTGGGTGACCTCTAGCAAATGAACTCCATGCCTCGGTTTCCTCATCTTTAAAATGCAGAAAGCATGGCCCTTCTCTTGTGGACACGAGGACATTTCCACCCAGAGCCAGGCATACTACAGTGCCCAGTGCCACTGTGATCCCCACTGTTGGTCTGCCGCTCAAAGCCAAGGGCTGACCCTGGCTCCTCCCTGGCTGTCGGCAGGGCCCTGCTTCTGCTCCTTTGGCTCCTGCCCTGAGTGGCAGTGGCTCTGAGCCCAAGCACCCTCCAGCGTGGGCCCGGTCTCACCTTCATTGCTCTCGCCAGGCGGGTGGTAGAAGGACAGTCCTAGAGAGATGATGGCCGCGATTTCCAGGATGATGAGTGTCACATCCTGCAGCGCTTCCCACACAAGCTGCAGGAAGGTTTTTGGCTTCTTTGGAGGTATAAAGTTTTGCCCGAAAATCTGCTTTCTTTTTTCCAGGTCTGGAGTAGTACCCGGCAAACCTGTGGACAGAGTTTGGCAAGGTTGGCCTGGGGATTTGGGAGACATGCCTGTGCACCCTTCAGATTGCAGGGAAGTGGGGAAGAGGAGAGAAAACCTCCAGTACCTGGCCCAGGAGCCTGACATTTCCACATGCCTTGGACTGGGTAGGCTCCTGTAATGCCAGAAAACCAAGCAGGGGGCTGAACAGTGGCCGCAAGAGATACAGGTGCTCCTGGGCTCGCAGCGGGGTTCCACACTGACAAACTCATGACAAGGTAAAAAGAACACAGGTTGAGCGTGCATTTTTTGGTTTGTTTTGTTTTTTTGTACCGGGGACCTTGTGCTTACGAGGCAGGTGGCAGAACCACTGAGCTAAATCCCTGGCCCGGTTGAAAGTGCATTTTGTACACCTCATCTTCCAAACATCACAGCTTGATCCAGGCCATCTGAATGGTGTTCACACACTTACATCAACCTGCAGTTGGGCCCAGCCCCTAACACAGCCTGTTCTATGGTAAAGTGTTGACTTAGTCCCTGGAATTTATTGAATATCGTTCCGAAGTGGAAACCAGAATGGATGTATGGGTGTTGCTTTCCCACCCTTGAAAAGCTGACATGCAAGTCCATCCATTCCAAACTGGTGGCTATCTGCATATCCATAGCCCAGCCCAGCCCTGTGAGTGTAACATCATCTGGGAAGACAGTCTTTGCATTAAAGGTCCTGAGACAAGTCTGTCCTGAAGGGTGCAGTGACCCTCGGGGTGACACTGACACAGACGCAAGATCCATGTAAAGGTGGACGTGGAGACCACAGCGAGGCAGCCATGAGCCAAGGAGCATCGGGAGCCATCAGGACCAGCAGGCAGGGAATGATTCCCCAGAGCCTAGGACCAACCCTGCCAGTGACTTGACTGGGCTTCTGGCCTTCAGGCTGCGAGACAGCAGCTGCTTGGGTGTGGTAATAGGGCTACAGCAGCCAGGGAGGTCCCAGCCCTGTGCACCTCACACTGTGCCCTCGCTCCTGTCCCATCTCAGCTCCCCTCCCAGCCTGACAGCACAGCGCTCTGAGCCTTGGGATATCACGAGTGTTGCATAAGGCAACTCATGCAGCCATCAACCACTCGCCCAGCGACGACAAAGGCAGTACTGGAGCCAGGACCAAGAGCCTTCCAGCAGAGGAGTCTCCGAGGTCCTTCCTTCTCTGCATCAGGCTACAGCGAAAGCCAGGTGCAGCCCTGTGCTGGAGCCAGAATGGAGCAGTAGGGCCCCACTGCCACTCCTAACCCTCCATTTCCAGAAACTCCTCCAGCCTCCCGTGCTCCACAGTCCTGGAAGTGCTCCATTAGCTCAGGATAGAATCTCCAGCTACCACTCCAGCCTCAGGATCTGACTTCCGATCTATGACTGCAGCCTCTTCTTTCACTGTTTGGCTTCGTCCCAGCCAAACCAGGAGAGTCCCAGTTGGCACCTACTTTCTCCCGCCACCATCTGCTCACGCGGTACCCTCCACTGCTATTCCATGGTCCCCCACTGGCTTGTCTGCGTGTCTCCCCTAAACTCACTTATACCAATGTATGGGCGGTGACCCACTAATGAGTCCAGGCAAAGCACAGCCCTTACAGGGGACACAGGTGCGTTGACAGAGAGGCAGCTCTAGGGAAGACTACTGGCGTCACTCGTCCACAACGCCCCTCGGTGCTCCCCCTGGTGCCCGTCCTCTTTCCATGTTATCTTGTGCCACTCTGAGTGCTTTCTTTTCCATAGTAAGGGTCCTGGTAGATGTGTACCTTTGCTCCTTTTAAGCCAGGGAGAGCTCTTTCTCCGTCTACACAGTACACAGTGTGTCCATTCTCAGCCTCTCTGCAAAGCAGCCTTCACATCCTGTCCCAGATGCCAGGTCCAGGGACTCAGGATTCTCCCAAGTTCAAGTGCCCAGGCTGTGTTAAATGTGTGGCTGCAGCCATTCACCCACTGAGTCCACTAGTAACTGTAAGCTGAGCTGCTGGGGCTGCTTCAGCCAGCAGCAAAGAACACTGGAACACTCATCTTGCTGCCTTTTCCCCGCTGCTTGCCTGGCAGGTCAGCACTGAATCTGCAGTTCTCCCTTGGAGCTGCACCAGAGGACTAGGTGATGTACACTGTGCCTAGAGATTTTCATCTTGTTTCTCTTGTCTTTCCTTTGTCTGGATTTCCTCACTTAGATTATTTTAAATTTTATGTGAAACAAAATTTTCTAAACTGCTTTGAAGGCAATTTCAAAATAAAGCAGGGGTATTGGGGTCAGGGCTGGGTTAGCAGTCACTGTTAAGGAGGGAGAGGAGGGGATGAAGACATCAGAAATGCAGCTCACTCTCTGTCCTGGTAATTAGGGCAGGGGCAGGGGTCTCCATTCCCACATGTGGGGTGCCTCCTGCCAACAGCCTGGGTTCTACTGAAAGCCCTGGAGGGTGGAAGGCTCAGTCAATGTGTTCTCTTCTTTGATGATGACCAGCCCGTTTCCTGAGTGGACTCAGCAGATCGCTCCCTTTCTGGGGGGCCTGAGGCTGGAAATGAATGAAACTCTGCTAGTGCTTCAAGAGTGACACCACTCTTCTGCCACCTCACACAGATGTGCAGAGTCCTGTGACACTGAGCTGTTCAAACAAATGCCCCACGGCCCCAAGGGTGACCCCACCTGACTTGGCTGATATGAACCCCTGACCAGGGCCAGCTGGGGCTCTGCAGCTCTGGGACACTCAGGACATTTCAGATGAAACCATGACGAGTGCTTCCCAGGAGAAAGCCTCAGGGACATCACCGCCCTGCCAAGGGCAAAGCTCGAACCAGACCAGGCCAGGGAGGCATGAAGGGGAGCTGTGCAGCTCAGCATGTGAGAGGCTGTTTGTACAAAGAGTGGCCATGTACTGGCACACAGCCTAGGCACATGTAGGTGCATGGCACAGGCCTGTGTGGAGGTGGCCATGGCTGTCCCATGCCCTTTGGAGGCCAGAGTGGGCAGCTTACAAAGGCTTCACTTCCAGGACTTGTTAAATTCATGATGTTCCAGGATAAAATAGTAAAATGGGACAGAAGACTTGGGGCTGCCTCTCAGGGCCGTGTCCCCGGGGCAGCTAACTTCCCTCTCTGGGCCTCAGTTTCCTCTCGGGTGACATCTCAATAACCTTATTGCTACCACACAGACTTACATAAGGCAGGGCTCTGCTGTGCTCACAGAGTGCTTGTCACCTGGTGAGGATGTACTTAATGTCACCGCTGTTGCTATGGTGGTGACCCAGTGACCTCCAGAGAGCTTTCCGAAGTCTTAACACCCTACTGTGGGGCTCTGGCTGAATCAGGCTGGGTCATATCCTGGGCCTCAGGGCTCCCCGGGAGCTCCCCAAGGCTCCCCATGTACAGCCAGGAAGTTAGTTATCCCTAAGCACAGAGCTCCATGTCACCTGCCCTGCCCCAGTCTGAGCTGCTCACCTGGGAAATGAAGTCCAAGTTCTCCACGGCCCCTCCCAGCCTCCTGGGGTGGACCCAGTCCCTGCCCCGTGTTGGAATAAGCCCTCCTGGGAGATGGGATACAGGCTCGGGCTGAAGAGCCCCTGGCCAGGGAGAAGAGCAGAAAAAGAAGCATATTGCTAGGTGCTTTAAATGCACTGCCCCTTGGAGCCTCCACTCACTGGGCACAGTGGCTTCTCTGGTCACATAGAAGTGTGGGTGGGAGAGCCTGGGCCCGCCCTGGAAGCCCTCACTTTCTCCTGCAGGGAGTAATGGGCCTGTCTGACCATCCTCCCCGATAGGGTATGGGCTTTCCTCAGGCTCACAGCTCCCCAGAAGCAGCAGCAGAGGTTTAAGTGCTGTGGGCTGAGCTGCAGGTGGACCCAGATCAGGCTGAGGGGAATGTGGATCAATGCTCTGACCCTGTCTTCTACTGGTGGCTACAGGGGGCTGGAGAAGGAAACAAGAAAGAAGGGGAGAAAGAAGACCAGAGGGATAAATTCAGACAGCATGAGGCCAGGAACCCACCCTCCAGGCCAGCTCTGACCATGTCCCTGCTCTGCTCCACAACCTGCCATTGCTCCCTGTTCCCTGCACTACTGTCCAGCCCTTCACTTACAGTGGCCTCTCTGATTGTCCCAGTGTCTGCTACCTCACTCCCATGGCACATTCATCTCTCTCCTACCAAGCCAAAGGCCCCACGTACCCTGGCACCTGTCTGCCTTGATCCTGGCTAACGAGGTCCTAGCCCTGGATCCCATCATTCCTCTGGCACCAACCTGCTTGGTCTCCAGAGATGCAGATGGAGCTCACTGCCTCCTACCAGAAGCCTTCCTTGGTTTATGCAGCCAGAACAAGCTGCCCTTCCCTTTCCTGAGCCTTTGTACCAATCTCATCATTCATTCCCTTTCACACAGGGGTCAGGGTCTGGGGTCAAATGCCAATGGAGAGCCACCCTTTGCTGTCACCACCTCCGATGCCACCAACCATGGCCTGGGAAACCACTGGTGTCAGTGCACAGCAGGACGTTCCTCCTTCCTCTCCTCTCAGGGGCCATGGTGAGGTATGATGCTGAGGCTGCCCAGAGGCCCCTGCACAGTCAGAGCCTCAGTGAACCTGGGCTTCACAAGCCTCTTTGGGCAACAGCCCTGGGTGAGCCTTCCGTGTGGTCTGGTGTGTCTGAGCAGCCACCAGAAGTCCAGGACAGGCTTCACAGCATGTGGATCACATGTACAATTTACGATCACAGTCATGGTAGTGATAGTCATCATGTGTAGGGTGCAAGGGGACCTGGAGACCTCAGGTATCTCAGGTACACGGTGGCCTGGTGGGGTTCGCTATAGATCCAGAGTCTCTGATCACCACAGTGGTCATGGGGAAGGGAGCACACTTCCTATTCTCAGGCAGATCTGGCATCTGGCCATGCACGTGCCCACACAGAAGCGGCACACGGTCCTGCCCACAGCACTTGGCCATGGCAGTGAGTATGCACGGCCACACCCTGCACAATCTCTCCGTAGGCCCTGGGACACGGTGT